TCAACAGAGGTCCCAATATCGAGCCCTGACGCCAGCGGAGCCACGTGTCCCTGCGTGTGGGAAAAAGCCTGAGTTTGTGTGTGAGGTTGAGAGGATACGCCTGGATACAGTCAGAAAGGTATTGTGAGGGTCTACTGGAAATGTCTGGAGGAGTCACCTGTCAGAAAGGGCTTCAGTTTGAAACTCTGGCAGAACTTTGAACCTGTTCTAGGGGAGGTGGGCGACATTGTGTCTGAGTGGACCACGGTCTGTGCTGCCATTGTCGAGGTGGCTGCCTGGAGCTGTTGCTGCAGGGTGGTCTGTGCCTGTCAAGAGAGAAAGCCCTGAGCCCGATAGTGGACATCGGCATTGAAGGATGCTGTCAAGCTGAAGAAGGAGTCTAACCGGGTCTTTTTAGCCTGTGGGACTCCAGAAGCAGCTGATAGGTACCGGGAGTCCAAGTGGAATGCAGTGTAGATGGCTCTTGAGACAAACAACCTGGGCATAGCAGGGATTTGGTGAGGTCATGAAAAAATTTTTTGTATGAGTTTGAGGAGATTCTGGTCCACCATCCGGCATCTCAGGAGGGGGAAATTGTGCACTATCAACACTGTTTAGGTTGGAGAACGTGCGCTGCTGGCCTAAACTCAGGATGCTGTGGGTAGGTGGGCGGGGTACTATGAAGACCTCCTCAATCCTCCTGGCACCCCTTCCAGTAAGGAAATAGTCTGTGTACTTTGGGTCAGGCTCTTCAATCTCTGGTGATGAGGTCACCAAGGTGGTCAAATAGCTCTTCAGTGGAAGGGGTAGATGAGATTTGCCCAGAGTTCTGTAAGACTCTGCATGTTGTGAGGCTGTGCTGGGTGAGGTGGCTCAGCAATAGTGCATGGATATTGAGGGAAGTTTGACTAGATTGGCAAACCAAAGTGGTGCTCCTCCTAATTAAAAAGGGAAGAGAATGAACATTCAGCATTGGAGCGTCAAACCTCATATTCACCTCATATGTGGTTTTTATCCTGCCCATGAAACACTGGATCTATACCCTTAGCAATGTGCTAAAGAGCTTATTGGACTTCACCCATCCAATCCGCATGTGTTTTGTGGACTTGAAAAAAGGCATTCTCCTAGAGTTTGGTGTACCAGGCCTCTTGATAGGGGCTATTTGGTCTCTGTATGATCTGTTTCAGAACTTGGTCCACAGTGCCAACAGTAAGCTGAGCTTTCCCCATTAAGAATTAGTTCGTTATCACCGATTCTGTTCATACCATATATGGACAGGATTTGTAGGTGGAGCTGAGGTGTTGAGGGGATCAGGTATCTTCTTTATGTAGATGATGTGGTACTGTTAGTATCGGGTTACCATGTAGCTAATGTTCTGCAGATCACCAACTGTGGAGTAGTGTCAGCCCAAGCTGGGCAAGCAGCCCACTTGGCTAAGTGGCCCACCAGGACAGTGGCAGAATGCCAGATAGGCCAGTCCACCCCTGTGTGGTACTGTTGGCTTCATCAGACCATGATCTACAACTTTTGCTGGAGTGGTTCATAGCCTAGTTTGTAGCAGCCTGAATGAGATTTAGCTCCTCCAAATCAGATATGGTAGTCTTGAGTTGCAAAAGGGTACAATGCCTTTTCCAGGCCAGGGACAATGTCCGGCCTCAAGCTGAGGACTTTAGGTATCTCATGGTCTTGTTCACAAATGAAGGAAAGATCGAGTGGAAGATCTATAAGCTAACTGGTGCTCTGTCTATAGTGCTACAGGCATTGTAGGGGTCTGTTGTGGTGCAGAGAGAGCGGAGACAAAAGGTAAAGCTCTGGATTCACTGGTTGATCGACATTCCAACCCTCATCTATGGTCATGAGCTTTGGATGGTAACCAATAGAAGAATACATTAATGAGACATTAGACGACAGAAGTGACAGCTAGGACAGCCTAGCTGCAAGCAGAAGGCTGGCAGAATGCATTATGAGATTACGACAATTACCTCCTGATATACAGACATGGACTAAGTTGTTGTTACCCTTCGGTCAATAAAAGAAAAACCCACAATGGTCACAGAAATAACTTGAATCAGACAAAAGTAGAAATAAATAAAATTCTATAATATTTAACCAGTGAAAGTCAGACATGGCTTTGCAACTTCAACAGAATTATTTAGATAAATAAACTCGTGGAACAGGTCTTGACAAAAATGATGGTACCTCTAGAAAAGACAAGCACCGGTGATCTTCTTAGTCCCTACACCCCCAGCAGGTCCCTGAGGTCCAGTGACCAAAGCCTACTGGTTGTGCAGCACCAGGCTAAAGGTCAAAGGTGACAGATCATCTGCTTCTGTGGCCCCAGACTCTGGACCTTCCTCCCCCTGAGCCTGAGATTGGTGGACTCAGTGGACTCCTTTAACCCTCCCACTGTCTTTATCGGTGACCCCGGGAGGAAAGTTGACCACTGAGCAGGATTGATGGTTTATCCCTTGAGGTCCATGTGGCAGGGGTGAGGTGGTGCTCACTCCTCACCCCTGCCACATGGACCTCAAGGGATAAACCATCAACCCTGCTCAGTGGTCAACTTTCCTCGCGGGGTCACCGATAAAGACAGTGGGAGGGTTAAACCTAACCCTAACCCTGTTCAGGTTTTGGTGGGACCTCCATCACCTCCCTCTCCTTGTTCTGCTCTTATTCCGTCTTTCCCAAGATCCGCTGATCTCCCTATTTCCTGTTCATTTCCTCTTCCCCTTTCCTTACATTTTTAATCACAATTTTAATTTGTTTTCCTTTTAAACATATTTTTTATCTTTTAAAAAAAATATTTGTTATATTTTAATTTATTCGTTTTGTGAAGTGCCTTGTGTTTTTTATGTTGAGAGGCGCTATCTTTATACTGGGAAGAAACTGCCTCTTACCGTGGCTGCACACTGAAAGCATCAGCGGCGTGGAACCGCAGCGGAATGGTTTACTCGTGACAATCACAGCATTCGAGTGCACACTGGGAAAGTCTCAGCAGCGAAGCGGCTTCTCTGCCATGCTCCTCGCTCGACTCGCAAGATCACCAATTCCCTCGAGACTTCTGCCAACCTCCTCGGGAGATTAAATGAACCCTCCAGACTTCAAAGTTTATGGTTTGCTTATTCAATCCGTCATGAAACTGTAAGAGTCCCCCCCCCCCCCCCCCCGCCAGGAAAAAACCCATGAAAACACACCGCTGCACTTCTAGAACGATGCTGTGTGTTAATAAGCTGTTAGATCACACGTAAGCTTCATATATATATATATATATATATATATATATATATATATTGCATCGCTGCAGTACCTTTATTTTGAAAATTACTGTGTGATTTCCTGTCTAGCCCTATGTTAAGTAAGTAAATGTTATTTCTACAGCACTTATCACAGGCATAGAATCAAAGTGCTTCACATAAATCAAAACAAGTCATAAAATCACAAATAGATTAACATCAGAAAATAATAGTCACAAAATTATAAAATTTCCTAAACAGATGAAAGATAAAAATAAAAGGTTTAGGTAAAAGCAGCTTTAAATAAAAAGGTCTTCAGCTGTTTTTTAAGTGTCCAGACCATCAACGCTGCGTAAGGATAAAGGAAGATCATTCCAGAGTCGGGGTGCAGCAGTCTGGAAGGATCGATCACCTCGACTTTTGTATCTGGTCTTTGGAACTTCTAGAAGGTTCTGGTGGGTGGACCTGAGGGCTCGGGTTGGAGCATAAGGCTTTAACAGGTCAGTAATATAGGGAGGAGCTTGACCATGTAGAGCCCTGAAAGTTCTAGTCAGGACTCTAAATGAACTCTAAAGTTAACGGGTAACCAGTGCAGAGACTCCAGAATAGGAGTGATGTGTGCTCAACGGTTTGCTCCAGTTAGGAGCCTCGCTGCAGAGTTCTGGACCAACTGAAGGAGGTCAAGGGCTTTTTGTTAGAACATGTGAAGAGTGTGTTACAGTCATCTAGACGGGAGGAGATAAAGGCATGGAGAACCATTTCAGGTTCATGTTTTGACACCAACCTTCACAGTTTGGAGATAGTTTTTCGGACCGTTTTTGAGTGACCTTCAAGAGACATGGATTGGTCAAAAATAACACCCAAATTCCTTAAGTTCATCTTGACGGCAGAGGATAAATGACCAAGTTTTAGACTAATCAGGGGAACCATGCTCTCAGGGGCAATGATCACACATCGTCTTTTCAGAGTTTAACTGAAGGAAGTTATCTTCTAGCCAGCTGGTGAAAGCTGATAGACACTCTAGTAATTCAGACAGTTTGTAGGATCCTTAAAGGAGCAGTACAGCTGAATATCAACTGCATATAGGTGATAAGACATTATGAAAAGAATCAAGTATCTGTCCAAGAGGGTGTATGTACAGCAGAAACAACAGTGGACCCAAAACAGAGCCTTGGGGTACCCCACAGAACAGATCAGTAGAATCTGACATGATGTGGTTTCTACAGATACTGTAACTTCCGTTAGAAAGGTACGATCTAAACCAGTCTAGAACAGTTCCAGAGATCCCCACCGAGTCACCAAGTCTGTTAAGGTGCTGTGAGATCTGTAGGTGCTGTGAGGCTCTGTGTGATCTGTAGAGAGTTCTTGATGGTAACAGCTAAAACAGGTGGTTTTCGAAATGAGAGGGATCTACTGTGATGTGTTTTTGGCTCTGCTGAGGTAGCGATAGTCCAAGATATCTCCTAAACTCGGCAGAGGGCAGCCTAAAATCTGCCTTTGGGGGGGGGGGGGGGGGGGGGGTGGTGGGGGGAGGGAGATTGTGGACATAATAGGTGCCCCCTCCCACCTGTAGCATTAAGGAGTGGCTTCATATTTAACAAAATGATCAACAAGCTGTGATATTCCATATAAATATGAAATATCGACCTGATAGATCTTTGAAGGTTTAATCAGAAGATTCTAGTTGCTTTTACTCATTCAGGGACCATAAACACACTTCATATTAATTCAGAAAGAGTCAGTATACAGTTTATAAAATGAATTTATTTATTTAGTTTCCCTAAACTAATAATTATACAAGACAAGGTATGACTGGAATGATAGAATGATATCAGGGTATCCGCGGGTCCTTAAAAAGTCTTAAATTTGGCTCCCGTAAACATGCAGATACCCTGGATATGTGATGTAATGCAGATGAGGTGATTTAATGTGAATGTTGCAATGGAAGCTAGACGTTTCTCAAGTGTCTGAGAGAGTTAGTGGAGTCTGGGTTGTAAAAGAACTCGGCTGTTTGTTTGGTAAACCACAGATTTGTTTATAAAACCATCCAACGCAATCTGTTGAGTCTACGATTCTCTTGTGCGATCCAGGGGGTCAAGAGGTCGTGATGGACACTGCGGGTGGAGTGGACATCTCGGTATCAGGCACCTGTGGACTAGCTCCGATAGGATCCGTCTAGACTGAGATCTCTCCAGGTGATGACAGGAAGCTGGAATGCTTGTTTGCATCTAAAGGTGTGGAGTGGCTCTTAAGAGCCGTTGTGTCTGATCACTCACAGCGTTGCAGAGACACCAACTAGGAAGCAGATGAGACCCGGTGGAGGCTCCTAACAGCAGTTCTAGAAGGACATGAGCTTCACCAGTTTGATCCATCAGCAGCAGATTTCAGAATATTCATCAGCAGATGTTTATTCTCATTATTAATAGTGTTTCCTGGACAAAACCTAACACCGAACATGGATCAGATGTAATAAAGGTCATCACCTCACCAACCTAATCCCATCCCCTCGCTCACTCTGGCCTGCTTTCTGTGGTATGTGTTCTCACATTAAAGCCCCGCCTCCTAGTTCGACAGACAGCAACAACTGAAAAGACCCGTAGTTACAACCCACAACCCACTGGTGAACGGTCCTACAAGAGAAACTATTTAACAGCTGAGTACAGATGCCATGCTAAAAGATCTGCTGCAGCACTCTACAAGTGGACCCTAAGGACAGCAGCTCAGGCTGAAGCCCATCGTTGTGGTACGGCTCCGCCTCTACATGGAAACATTTACGACATGTGGCTCACAGGCCAGGAAGAAGTTGCTCGTGGGCCGAATGCAGATCTGACCCAGGGTAACGGGCAGCTGCTAGGGTACAAGACTGATCCAGAAGCCAGGGTTGAGCCGTAAAAGCTTGCTTTCCTAAATCTAGCTATGGAGAAGCCGAGCCCGAGACTCTTCTGCCTGTACACTCCACAGGAACACTGCTGCTGACATAATACGGTAGCAACAAGGTCACAGGATACCTCTAACAATGCCGATATTCAAACTCAATGCATTGCAGAGCTTTAACCTGAAGAGGGCGCTACACTGGCAGTTTAAGGCTGAATATTTAACATTTAGGATGAACTAAAAGGCCAAAATAACTATCTCACTCGTCTACGGCATTGTGAGATATTTGTTTATACCGTTTAGCACTTGTCAGTGACTTACTCTTTAAGCTCTGTCTCCTGAGTGGACTCTCATGTGAGTGTTTAAGTTTGACCTTTGAATAAAGCGTTTTCCACAGAGCTCACAGACAAAAGGCTTCTCTCCTGTGTGGACTCTCATGTGGACGCTTACGTCTTTCCTTTGACTGAAGCTCTTCCCACAGAGCTCACAGACAAATGGCTTTTCTCCGGTGTGGGTTCTGGTGTGATTGATTAAGGTTTCCTTTTGAGTAAATCTTTGTCCACAGAGCTCACAAGCAAAAGGCTTCTGTCCTGTGTGGACTCTCATGTGTCTGTTAAAACTTGTCCTATGGCTAAATCTCTGTTCACAGAGCTCACAAGCAAAAGGTTTCTGTCCAGTGTGGATTCTCATGTGCGTGTTTAAACTTGCCTTATGACTAAATGTTTGTCCACAGACTTCACAGGTAAAAGGCTTCTGTCCTGTGTGGACTCTAATGTGAGTGTTTAAAGTGGTCCTATGACTAAAACTTTGTCCACAAAACTCACAGGAAAAAGGCTTCTGCCTCGTGTGGACGATCATGTGACTGTCTAAACTGGTCTTATAGGTAAATCTTTGTTCACAGTGTTCACAGGCATAAGGCTTCTGTCCTGTGTGGACTCTCACGTGTCTGTTTAAATTTGCCTTTTGACAAAAGCTTTTTCCACAGGTGTCACAGGCAAAAGGCTTCTGTCCTGTGTGGACTCTCTTATGTCTGTTTAAACTTTTCCTATTACTAAATATTTTTCCACAGTCGTCACAACTAAATGATTTTGGGTCTTTCTGCACTTTCCTGCCCGAGTCTACATGTTGTGAAACTCCAACACACTTCTTATTAACCACACAGCCTGAAGACCTTGTTGCCGAATGACCCAACACTCGCTGGTGTTTCTGGAGAGTCCCCTTGTGGAGAAACTGTTCACCACACTCAGAGCAGCTAAAGGACTTGTTAACAGTCTTAACATCCGACTCAGAAGACCTGCTCTCACTCCCATCTTTGTCTCCGTCTCCAGAGTCTGACAGCTCAGAGTCTAGATTAAGATCATCATCCTCTTCATCACTCACACTAACTTCAGTCTCTGAAAAATGTACTGCATGTTCATGAGGGTTCAGACCTGGGTTCCTGCTAGTTCCTGCTCCTCCACCAGCTGAGCTGCTGGTTGGAACATCTCTGTCTTCTATCTGCTGCTGATGAAGCTGTGAGATCAGAGGTTTCTCTTCATCATCCTCACTCTTGATAGTAACTACAGTGAATGGAAACCTGGCAGCATCCGTCTCCTCCTTCAGATGGAGCTGCTCTCCCTCCAGACTGGTCCAGAGCTCATCCTTTATGTGGAGGTGTTGTGGGTCCTGCTGGTCCTCATCAGAAGCTTCTTCTTTAACCAGCACCACCCGGTAAACATCTGTGGGAAACACAGACACACAACCGCTGTAACGTCATGTTCCCCACATAATAAATATGTAGTTGGAGATCAGAACCGACTCAGAACACGTGAAGTAACTTTTTCATGCGAGGTGGATACGTAAAGTTTCCAACACCATGACAACCTCAAACGTGTGTGGCTGTGCTCTTACTCTGTCGTTACAACCCGTCAACTTGTGATGTCGTCTTTCTCCGTTTGGCAGTGGTCACCTGATGTTGTCTGGTTCTGTTCATACGGACCTGTTGCATGTGATGGCACGCCATTTGTGGGACCGCCCCCTTAACCATGATGGTTGGTAAATGCACGTTACACACGTTAAAACTGCAGCGAAGCTAGTCATAACAAGCTAGCTTAATCGCTTTTATTTAGTTGATTTCACCGAATTAGTTTTCTCCGCGGGGTGGCCGGGCTCAGCCTTAGGGAGACGGTGAGGAGCTCGGACACTCGGGAGAGACTCGGAGTAGAGCCGCTGCTCCTTCATATCGAGAGGAGTCAGTTGAGGTGGTTTGGGCATCCTGTTAGGGTGCCTCCTGGACGCCTCCCCAGGACACGTTGGAGAAAGTACATCTCTGAACTGGCCCAGGAACGCCCGAGGGTCCTGCCGGAGGAGCTGGTGGAGGTGGCTGGGGAGAGGACGGTCTGGAGCTCCCTGGTTAGGATGCTGCCTCCGCGACCAGGATAGGTGGAAGAAGATGAGATGAGATGTGTCGTTACCAGACACGATTATAGTTTATACTTCACGAGGAAGTCCGAAACAGACGTGATGCGTTTCTACTGCTGTTGCTGATGGATGGATGTTTGACCATGGAGGACGTGCGGTACCGTCCACAGTAGTGAAACGCAACGTTATTATTTACAATGTTCTAATGTAAGATTACACGTGTTTGACTTACGTTACTTAGTATGCTGCCGGTATGAGATACCTCTTCTCATCCCAGTGTGTGAGTAGCATCTGAACCTGGTGACCCCACAAACAACAACAATCAGTACGGCTCCAGATGTTTTTTAATCAACGCCCGTGTTATAAATGCAGCGGGGTGGATTCTGGCCATGCCAGCACCTTGTTCACATCTGTGAACAGCAGCAGGGAGAACATAAGCTAGTTAACACATGACCTTTGTAAGTACCCCCTAGGTGAGCCCCGCCTCGGCGCGCCACTTCTGAGAACTGAACAGGGCCTAAAGTTAAAGTTAAAGTCCCATTAGTTGTCACACACACAGGTGTGTGTGCGAAATTTGTTCTCCGCATGTGACCCATCCCCTGGGGGAGCGGTGAGCTGCAGACACAGCCGTGCTCGGGAACCATTTGGTGGTTTAACCCCCCAATCCAACCCCTTAATGCTGAGTGTCAAGCAGGGAGGCATTGGGTCCCATTTTTTCAAAGTCTTTGGTATGACCCGACCAGGAATCGAACCCTGATCTCCCAGTCGCAGGGCGGACACTCTACCACTAGACCACTGAGCTGGTAAACTAACAACAAACTGTCTCGCCGTTGTCACCGATAACTTTTGACTTCTGGTCAACAGGACTGGTTACTGGTACTCTCTCCAAACCACAAACCACAAACCAAAAACTCTTCAGAGCTACACGATACTTCTCATCATTTTCAGACTAAAATGAGGAAAATAAGCACTGATAACCAAACCCAGGTTCATGCATTTATTCCATCAAGACTGGATTACTGTAAGCCATTACTAGCAGGAAGTCCACAGAATGTTAGGGCTGTAGCGAAGCCTCGACGAAGTCGACGGCTCGATTCTAAAAATTTGTCGACGTCAGATCCGGAAGTCGACGCACCGCGCCCACTTGTTGCATCCCCAGGAGTTTGTAAATAGAGGAGGAATCTGCCTGTTTTTCCTCTAGTTCGCCCTCTTCTCCGCCTTCACTAACATCTCCACCAAATACCGAAGACCCGGAACAATGTCCGTCCACTACTAGATTATTTTCCTGTTTTGCCCGCCTTCGTCTCCCGGCAACGGACAACAACTTCCGGGGTCAGATGCGCTGCTTCGTGTCTATCGCAGATGTAGAACATCACCGGGAGCGTTTCTCCCTTCATTAAGGAGCTTCTTTCAGACATGAGGAGAGCTGTTTTGGTGGTAGCAGTCTCTCCTCCGTGCTGGTCTGTTTGCTGCCGGGTGTTTTTGGTTTATTTAAACTTGGTAACTTGAACTTAATGTTGGTAAAGCTACTGTTAGCATCTTCGCTAACAGCTTCTTGCGTTGGGATAAGCTGTTACGTTTTGGTTTAGAGTTAATCTTTTTTGTGGTGTAGATCTCCCTTTTATTACATTTAGAGTGTTGTGGGTTTTCGGTTTAGTGTAAAATATCACCTGAGTTTGGTTTAACCCGTAACACCACTCGCCTCACGCACATAAGTGACCAAAACAAAGCAGCATGGAGACACTCCATCTTCTACCACCTCTCAGGCAGCAGCCTGCACTCCCAAGTTCTACACGTCACCAGAGCATAACCAACCAACACAATAAACGCAGTGTTGTACAAAATGGAAGGCCTGTAGTGTTTATTCTCTTACAGTAAGAATTTATCAATTTTTTTGAGGAATTTATTTGAGATTTTCTGGTTTTTGTTAATTGTGCAATAGAAAAATAATCATTAGATTAGTTTTCTAAATAGTCATTAGAATAGTCGACTATTCGATAAAATAATCGTCAGAATAATCGTTTTAAAAATAATCGTTTACCCCCAGCCCTACAGAATGTAGTTAAAAGTCTTCAGCTGTTAACTTTATTTTCTCTCTAAGTGTTTTTCTCCCCAGAAGAAGCTACAACGATGTTCTGCTGAGCTGTGGTGGCCTCATGGAGGGGGCCATCGTCTAGCACACTGCTGCTAACCACTTAAACATTCTCCCTCTCCTGATAATAACTTTTTACTTTCCTGGACGTTGAATGTGCTACTACTAGTTTACCCGTTTAATTATAGATCCACTAGGATAAATACAATAAAGTTTATCTCTCACCAAATAGAATATTTACTAAGACATCACAATATAAGAGGGCTGGGTAATATGGCCGAAAATCAATATCACGACATATTGAGGATTTCACCTCGATGACGGTAAATGAACGATAACTGCAGATCTGCACAGAAACAAAGGTTGTCCACTAGATGGGGCTGTCACGTGTGTTACATTGAGTCACATTGAGGTGGTGCAGCTTCTTAAAGGGACATGAATGTTGCCAACCCAGACACACCTCTTCATTACTTCATTATCAGACTTTCTGACACGACTAAAATTATCTCGGCCAAAGTCAGACACTTCTATAACGATACATTTACTATATACTTGGTGTGTGTGTGTGTGTGTGTGTGTGTGTGTGTGTGTGTGTGTGTGTGTGTGTGTGTGTGTGTGTGTGACACTGCTCCGTCTTCTTGATACTTAGCCTTTATTGTGAGAGTTGTGTTGATTAGATGCATTCGGGTGTGACTGAAACTGCTCGGGTGTTACATTCAGAGCTGCTCTATAGGTGCTGGAAAGGTGAAACTGGAGACCTCCTCCTCTAATGGAGGCCTCAGAAGTAGAGCTCTGTAACATTGTACAAACGGAAGGACCAGACCCAGACCCAGACCGACCCCCCCCACACACACACACCAGTACCTGTGTCCATGCTGATGAAGCAGTCCCAGCTGATGGATGATCCTGAAGTGGTAGCAGGTTTTCTTTAGCCGTGTTTAGCTAACAGCTGCAATAGAAACAAAGCAGGAGAGCTGATTAAGATGCTGCTTCAGAACAACGCAGGAGATTAAAGATCCAACGCTTTGGTTCTGATCAGCTGAGGACACATCCAGTCTGGAAAAGAGGACCTTTGCTCACCAGAGTTCACGGAGTAGAGCTAACCGCTTTTTCCTCCAGAGTCACATTCAGATTCGGGCCTTTTCCGTCGGAGAGTGTGAGCAGGATGGATGAGAGAGCGAGCAGCGATCCTGCATCATGACCAACTCAGATGAGCGAGTCTGATAGAGGGAACCTCTTCAATCTGATGAAAGCAGCAAAACGAGCGCGTTTCTCAGAGAGGCCAAAGGAACAGCAGCAGATCCAGAGGGCAGGAAGTCTAGAGAAAAGCTTTTCAAACCTGGTCTGGAAAACAACCACTTCCCTCCCAGTGCGCCCCCTAGTCCCCATTCTGCCCACCGTCCTCTGGATATTATAATCCCACCAGCCAGTCCTTCCCTCGTCCCAGTTCCTGCCATCCCTCAGTGACTCTGCCTAATCCCAGACCTCACCTCTCCTTTCCCAGAGGGCATCTACCCATGACCCCTACATGTAGGCGTCATCTACCCACGACCCCTACATGTAGGCGTCATCTACCCACGACCTCTACATGTAGGCGTCATCTACCCGCGACCTCTACATGTAGGCGTCATCTACCCGCGACCTCTACATGTAGGCGTCATCTACCCGCGACCCCTACATGTAGGCGTCATCTACCCGCGACCTCTACATGTAGGCGTCATCTACCCACGACCCCTACATGTAGGCGTCATCTACCCACGACCCCTACATGTAGGCGTCATCTACCCACGACCCCTACATGTAGGCGTCATCTACCCACGACCCCTACATGTAGGCGTCATCTACCCACGACCCCTACATGTAGGCGTCATCTACTCACGACCCCTACATGTAGGCGGCATCTACCCACGACCCCTACATGTAGGCGTCATCTACCCACGACCCCTACATGTAGGCGTCATCTACCCACGACCCCTACATGTAGGCGTCATCTACCCACGACCCCTACATGTAGGCGGCATCTACCCACGACCCCTACATGTAGGCGTCATCTACCCACGACCCCTACATGTAGGCGTCATCTACCCACGACCCCTACATGTAGGCGGCATCTACCCACGACCCCTACATGTAGGCGGCATCTACCCACGACCCCTACATGTAGGCGTCATCTACCCACGACCCCTACATGTAGGCGTCATCTACCCACGACCGCCACATGTAGGCGGCATCTACCCACGACCCCTACATGTAGGCGTCATCTACCCACGACCCCTACATGTAGGCGTCATCTACCCACGACCCCTACATGTAGGCGTCATCTACCCACGACCCCTACATGTAGGCGTCATCTACCCACGACCCCTACATGTAGGCGGCATCTACCCACGACCCCTACATGTAGGCGTCATCTACCCACGACCCCTACATGTAGGCGGCATCTACCCACGACCCCTACATGTAGGCGTCATCTACCCACGACCCCTACATGTAGGCGTCATCTACCCACGACCCCTACATGTAGGCGGCATCTACCCACGACCCCTACATGTAGGCGTCATCTACCCACGACCCCTACATGTAGGCGTCATCTACCCACGACCGCCACATGTAGGCGGCATCTACCCACGACCCCTACATGTAGGCGTCATCTACCCACGACCCCTACATGTAGGCGTCATCTACCCACGACCCCTACATGTAGGCGGCATCTACCCACGACCCCTACATGTAGGCGTCATCTACCCACGACCGCCACATGTAGGCGGCATCTACCCACGACCCCTACATGTAGGCGTCATCTACCCACGACCCCTACATGTAGGCGGCATCTACCCACGACCCCTACATGTAGGCGGCATCTACCCACGACCCCTACATGTAGGCGGCATCTACCCACGACCCCTACATGTAGGCGGCATCTACCCACGACCCCTACATGTAGGCGGCATCTAGCCACGACCCCTACATGTAGGCGGCATCTACCCACGACCCCTACATGTAGGCGGCATCTACCCACGACCCCTACATGTAGGCGGCATCTACCCACGACCCCTACATGTAGGCGTCATCTACCCACGACCCCTACATGTAGGCGTCATCTACCCACGACCCCTACATGTAGGCGTCATCTACCCACGACCCCTACATGTAGGCGTCATCTACTCACGACCCCTACATGTAGGCGTCATCTACTCACGACCCCTACATGTAGGCGGCATCTACCCACGACCCCTACATGTAGGCGGCATCTACCCACGACCCCTACATGTAGGCGGCATCTACCCACGACCCCTACATGTAGGCGGCATCTACCCACGACCCCTACATGTAGGCGGCATCTACCCACGACCCCTACATGTAGGCGTCATCTACCCACGACCCCTACATGTAGGCGTCATCTACCCACGACCCCTACATGTAGGCGTCATCTACCCACGACCCCTACATGTAGGCGTCATCTACTCATGACCCCTACATGTAGGCGGCATCTACCCACGACCCCTACATGTAGGCGGCATCTACCCACGACCCCTACATGTAGGCGGCATCTACCCACGACCCCTACATGTAGGCGGCATCTACCCACGACCCCTACATGTAGGCGTCATCTACCCACGACCCCTACATGTAGGCATCATCTACCCACGACCCCTACATGTAGGCGTCATCTACTCATGACCCCTACATGTAGGCGGCATCTACCCACGACCCCTACATGTAGGCGGCATCTACCCACGACCCCTACATGTAGGCGTCATCTACCCACGACCCCTACATGTAGGCGTCATCTACCCACGACCCCTACATGTAGGCGTCATCTACCCATCATGATAAATGACCCGCACTTGTATAGCGCCTCTCAGAGTAAGGACTCCAAAGCGCTTTACACTACAGTGTATCATTCATCCATTCACACACATTCACACACTGATGGTGATGAGCTACGATGTAGCCACAGCTGCCCTGGGGCGCGCTGACCGAGGCGAGGCACCTCATGAACGTCACAATGACCAATGACCTGGATTCAGTAAAGGGACAGGAGACTCTGTAGCCAAAGGTCCGGTCTGAAAGACCACGCTTAAGGACCAGGGGTCTCATTAACCAAACACGGCGTAGAATCCTTACTAAACCGTACTTAAGCTCAGCAAATAAAATGTTCTTATGCCAAGCAGGTGTGTGATCTATCAAACATGGAGGACACACAGCTGCACGCAACCTCCGCTTCATAAATCAGAGACTAACCAGAATGTTTCTCAGCTGCATTTTAGTCACATCCCGCCCTCACCACGCCCACTTATTGCCTTAAATGGTCAATGCAAAGTGTCTTGTGGACCTCATGCATATACATAAGCCGGCTGTTGCAGCGCTCCACCAATGACATGGTGACCGTAGATCAAGGCAGATCAAGGAAGCGCTATTTCACACAAGCACAAGTTGAGGTACTTGTGGGTGAGGTGGAGAAATGACAGGAAGTGCTTTTGCTAAACAAATAAGAGAAAATCCACGGAGAGGCACAGCGTTGCTGAAGCCGTCAATGCTGACTTCTTCAGAGAGATCTGTGGCGGGTATAAAAAAATGATCCAATCAGGATTTGAACCCCAGACTCCCAGGTGAAACCAGTCACCCAAACTGAGATCTCCCCTGTACAAGTAGCCAGGGCGCGTGATCAATCGGCTCACGGTGACAGGACACACACTGTCACACACGCATGATGTTCTGTCTCAATCTGTCCCCCTGCTGATATTCTGCACTTCAGGCTGTGTGTGAGTGCGTGTGTGTGCACGTGCATGTGTGTGTGTGGGGGGTCTTGTTCTGTGTGAAAAGTCAGCAGTACAAGTGATAATGCTGCAGGAGTTCATAACTGTATCTTCTCAGCAGCAGCACTGCAGGTGCTCTCCATGTCCAGCATGTGTGTAAGCCAGGTCCTTAGTCAACTTTAAGTTATGCACAGTTTTCCACTAAGTTTTCTTTCATAAATCCCAAAGTTTGCGTGACACGTTGTTTGCGCAGTTTTCCGACCCCTTTTTGAGCGTAAGCAAGCTTGATGAATGAGACCCCAGAACTGCCCAGGTTCCTGGAAGGCCGTACAGAGCCAGAACAATCCCCAACGCACCCCCGACTACACGGACGGACTCTTACCCACTGCGTGACGGAGCTCCAGGACAACGAAAGAAGAGCAACAACCTAGCTCTGCTAGCAGCTTCCGCCTTTTATCTTCTTCCGCTCCCTTTCTGGTCGGCTCATGGGTCGTCAGAAGCATAGACATGAAAACGTAGACGCTGAAAACGCTGACTGTCGCCGCCATATTGAATGGGTCGGTTCTAACAACCGGCGTACAATTGCTATATTATTTATGTTGTTTAATGATAATTATATTTTAATTATCGTGCCGTACCACGTGTCTGATTGTGTGAAAACGCTTGATAAAGTGTGTTTTTAGTTAGCTAAGCTCCTTCCTCAGTGCAGGTGAAGGCACGGGGGCGAATGGACACCCATCTAAAATGGCGTCTATGTACATATGTCTGTGAAGAAACTCACCGGAGAATCGTTCGTGGAGTCGGCGACACCGGGAGGAGAGGAGAGCGGGTTGTCAAGCAGGTATTTCTCAGGAGATCCCGGTGTTCTAGCTTCTGGTCATAGAGGTCTAACTCCACCTGTTACCACCTCTTTCTGATCAGGGGCTCGCCGCTAGGTGGCAGTAACGCACCTAGAGCTACAAGGAGAGCACACCACTGCGCATGCGTTGCCTTCATTCTTCATGGCGCTGTCGGAGGAAAGGCCTGGTAGGTCTCTGGGTGGATTTAAGTGTATTTTAGTGTTTCTACAGGCGGCGTGAGAGAATCAACAGCAGCTTTAAGTGTTGGTCTGAGGCTGGGACTCAGGTAGGACTCCTCTAGACTCTGTTTACCGGTCTCAGTCTCGCTCAGTAGTGATGTTGGACGCCAGAGAGACTTCCAGTCCGCGGTGGGTTCGGGTCAGGGTCATCCATGGTCTGTTGCAGGGACGGATCCGGGGACTAGTCCTCGGAAGCGCTGGTTCACTAGCCTCGGATCCGCTGCAGGGTTCGCGACGGGGCGCATCACTTGGAATCGTAGGATGTCCAAGGAAGGTCCCGCCTCTCTCGCCTCTGATTGGCTAGAAGGGCTCTGCTATGATTGGCTGTTTCATTAAGCAGCAACAGTACTGTCCTGTCACCAGCAGAACAGCTGTTTTGTATAGAAAATGAGAACCAGGGCCTATAACAACCATTCTGTTCTGTTTTACTGAAATAGTTTTATTAAAAACCTGAGAAAGTTCAAAAAGGGAACTTATGATGAATCTTGTTGCATGAACCACTATTGGACTTACTTTATATGTGTAATATGTGTGTTATTACTGCAGAACACCGGATAAATGTGTGTGTGCCGTCTTGCTCACGCTCACTATGTAACGCTCCTGTAGAGAATCCTTACATGTACAAGCGCGTGTACACAGACAGGTGCTCACATGGTATGGACTCGGCCCTTTTGACACACCACCTAAGGCTGTGGTTGGCACTAAATGCACTATGAATTATTAATGTGTGCTTTTCAGCAAAAAATGTAACTTTTATATCCCCGTGTTGTTGGCGCAGTGGTATTTTGGTCTTGTTGTATTTTTGTGTCCACTTTTTTTCTCTTTCTGCAGGTCTAAAAAAAGCAGGGGTGCTTGGTCGCACGTAGAAGGAAGTGGCGCCACCATCAGCGTCAGCTCTGAGGAAGTTTACAGCCGGTAAACGAAACTGTCAGCAAGGTAAAAAAGAAACCTTTTCTGCGTTTTAAAAAAGAACCAAAAATGCAGTTTGAAACTAAACACAACAATAACATAACAAAGATGCTCTTTACCTTGTTTTGCTAACGTCTGGGCTAATTACTATAGCCATCCGCAGAGCTGGGCCAGTGTTGGTGGCATCGTCCTCTGCTGCCCGTAGATGAACGGAGAAGGAAGGGATGGCACCAACATCATGGTGCCTTGGCAGGCAAGGCGAGGTCTTAATGCTTTCCCCACCCGTCTCTTTACGCTGCAGAACTCTGTTTCTCCTGGACAGTTCTGCTTTCATGTTTTCTGGTCTGGGGAAAATGACTCCTAGACCAGTAACATCTCAAATATTATCTGTAGCACTTTTCAAACAAGTCTAATGTTAAAACAGCAGCGGATTCTTGTTTCCTCCATGGACTGGATGTGTCCTCAGCTGATCAGAACCAAAGCGTTGGATCTTTAATCTCCTGCGTTGTTCTGAAGCAGCATCTTAATCAGCTCTCCTGCTTTGTTTCTATTGCAGCTGTTAGCTAAACACGGCTAAAGAAAACCTGCTACCACTTCAGGATCATCCATCAGCTGGGACTGCTTCATCAGCATGGACACAGGTACTGGGGTGTGTGTGTGTGTGTGTGTGTGTGTGTGTGTGTGTGTGTGTGTGTGTGTGTGGGTGTGTGTGTGTGTGTGTGTTTAAGAGTTACTTTAATTAAAAAGTCATGCCAGACACTTCCAAGACTCGTCCATTGTTATAGTGAGAGCTCATTGTTCCGCCAGGATGAAGGGGAAAACCTGCTGCCACCTAGCAGTCGGAGCTTGAGTCGCACCGCACAAGAAAATATAGTACGTGTTTGTAGAGCTTGGTTTGTGCTTCTCCGTTAGCTCCACCAGGGAGAGACACACATGGAGACAACTTGTCCTCATACATCACCTGGGGAGTGCTGCAAAGCAATTCCCCTCCAGGACACCAGAGGGTGTAGTGCCGTTGTAGGGTATCCTGTCATGTATCCGGTCCGTGTTTTTGTATTTCAGAGACTTTTTAACACTGACGCATTTGTCCCTCGTCCTCCTTCACCTCTTCATGTGCTCGCCACATCTAAACCCACTTTTCCCGTCATTGATGTCCACGAATAAAACGCTCGTATCGCATATCTTTTCAGTCCTCCAATCATGGGGGAATAATACGTTCATATTTGTAAGAGTGCTCCGTGTCTGCCGCTAGATATCTTTGTTATTGAGGCCGCAATGGTGGCGCTGTTAACGAAAGCAGCGTTCCGCCACAACTCACTGGGGATCCAGAAGACAGAGCAGTAGACCCCCCCCCCACCCCACCCCTCCACACACACACACACACACACACACACACACACACACACACACACACACACACACACACACACACACACACACAAGACAAAGTAATGTGTCTATGGTTACATTGTGATGTCTTAGTAAATATTCTATTTGGTGAAAGATAAACTTTATTGTATTTATCCTAGTGGATCTATAATTAAACGGGTAAACTAGTAGTAGCACATCCAACGTCAAGGAAAGCAAAAAGTTATTATCAGGAGAGGGAGAATGTTTAAGTGGTTAGCAGCAGTGTGCTAGTCGATGGCCCCCTCCATGAGGCCACCACAGCTCAGCAGAACATCGTTGTAGCTTCTTCTGGGGAGAAAAACACTTAGAGAGAAAATAAAGTTAACAGCTGAAATAGCAGGAAATAGTACAGTTAAAGAGCAGACTGTAGAAGAAAGTAGTCGAGTGTGGAAAGTGGTCAGTGTGTCCTCCAGCAGTCTAAGCCTATAGCAGCATAACTACAGAGATAACTCTGGATAATCTATCCTATTTAGATGTAGGCATGTTGGAGGCAGGGCAAGGGAGAGCCGTCTTTACCGACTGTACACTCCACCTCCCTCTACTCCCCCACTTGTCCAGATTTAGGCTAACATCAGATTTTAACCATAGGCCCTATCAAATAAAAATGTTTTAAGCCTATTCTTAAAAGTAGACAAAGTGTCTGCCTCACGGACTAAAGCTGGGAGCTGGTTCCACAGGAGAGGAGCCTGATAACTAAAAGATCTGCCTCCCATCCTAATTTTAGATATTCTGGGAACCACCAGTAGACCTGCAGTCTGAGAGCGAAGTGCTCGGTTAGGAACGTATGGAACGATCAGATCACTGATGTATGATGGACCTTGATTATTTAAGCCCTGTTCATGCTTCTCCGTCAGCTCCGCAAGGGACAGACACGCACGGATTGACGGAAGCGTTTTGCTCTCATACTTCTCCGTCTCCTGGAGAGCGTTGCAAAGCAATTCCCCGCCAGGACAATAGAGGGCGTAGCGCTGTTCTGTGGTATCCTGTCATGTATCGGTCCAAGATGGTGTGTTTATATTGTGTTTTGTGTATATATAAGAGACTTTTAATACGGACATATTTGTCTTTCATTCTCCCACCGCTTCATGCGCTCCCCACCTCTAAACCCACGTTTCCTGTCATTTCCGTCCACAAATAAAACGCTTGCTGCGCATCTTTTCACTCCTCCAGTCACGGCAGGATGAAACATTCATATTTTTAGAGTTTTTTCGCGAGGTATTCTTCAAGCTTCTCCGTGTCTGCCGCTAGTTATCCTCGGCTCTCTTTGCAATGGCGGCGCTGTAAACAACAGCGGCGTCCTGACCAATCACAAGCTTGCGTAATCCGTCTCGTTCGACGGATGTTTAAAAAAGTGGGCTCGACTCCGTACGTACTTGCGTGCCAGCCGGAGCCCTACGCAAGGACGGATAATGGCGTTGCGTGTCTCCGCACTGACGCAGACGGAGAAGCATAAACCAGGCTTAAGAGCTTTATATGTGAGAAGAAGGATCTTAAAATCTATTCTGAATTTAACAGGTAGCCAATGTAGGGAAGCTAAGACAGGAGAGATATGATCTCTTTTTAATTCTTAATTCTGAGATCTAACAAGACTAGAACAGACACAAGATTCTTATCTGAGGCCATGAGAATATCATTTGTAACTCTCACTAATGCAGTTTCAGTGCTGTGATACTCTCTAAAACCAGACTGATATTCCTCAAACAGAGCATTAGTGTTTAAATGCTCACATACTTGGATGGCCACTATTTTCTCCAGGACTTTGGATAAAAATGGAAGGTTAGATATTGGTCTATAATTCATTGGGTCATCTGAATCCAGAGAAGGCTTCTTAAGTGAAGGTTTGATTACAGCAACCTTAAAGTCCTGTGGTACATACCCATACACTAAGGATAGATTGAGATTCATGGAGGACTAATAAAACTGGCCATGTTCCTAGAAAGAAGAGCTGCTCCGTCCAAAGAGGGATGCTTGCTTAGTATGAGGATTGCTGTAAAGACTCCGACACTAGTCAGTGACTCGATGCAACCTGCTGGGTTCCTTATATAGGAAACTTGTTACTGATTGGCTTAATGGCTGTGCAGTGGCACAGTGGTTAGAGCTGTTGCCTTGCAGCGAGACGGTCCTGGGTTCTCTTCCCGGCCTGGGATCTTTCTGCATGGAGTTAGCATGTTCTCCCTGTGCATGCGTGGGTTCTCTCCGGGTACTCCGGCTTCCTCCCACCGTCCAAAAACATGACTGTTAGGTTGATTGGTCTGTCTTAATTGTCCTTAGGTGTGTGTGTGTGTGCATGATTGTTTGTCCTGTGTGTCTCTGTGTTGCCCTGCGATGGACTGGCTCTCTGTCCAGGGTGTACCCCGCCTGATTGCCCGTTGACCGCTGGAGATAGGCACCCCCCCCCCCCCCCCCACGTCCCTACGTGGACAAGCGGGTTCAGACGATGGATGGATGGGTGATTGGTGTAATGACCTGACCTGTATTGGAATGTTTACTGTGTGAGGGTCCTTGAGACGACTCTTGTCGTGATTTGGCGTTTTATAAATAAACTTGAATTGAATTGAAAGTGGCGTCCTGACCAATCACGAACTTGCGTTCTCCGTCTTGTTCGACGGATGTTTGGAAAACAGAGCACGACTCGTGCGTCCTTGCGAGGCTGCCGGCGAGCCTTTGCAAGGACAGATAAAGTGGGTGCGCGTCTCCGCACCGACGCAGAAACATAAAGTAAGCTTAAGTCCTCGATAAGACTAGTACGCTGCTTTAACGACCCGTCTCACGCTGTTTTACACTTTCCAGAGTAACTTTAGTGTATGATCAAACAGGGTTTCTCCAGCGCTTTATAAGCCACCAGGCCTTGCTTGGCTCCCCACCACGCCAAGCGTCCACCCCCATTTCGCCCCGTAGCAAAACGAACGTCGTCATGGATGGCAGACAGTAGCGAAACGATCTGCGTGGGGATCAGATGCATCTAGTTGACACAACTCGCTCACAATAGAGGCTGACTCTCAGGGGTAGGGAGGAGGGGTCTTATTTCCAGCTCCTTATTGTGGTGAGCTGCTATCATGAGGATTATGTTACAACCCCGACACGAGATGTTGGAGGGGGTAACGTAAGAACTTGGAACAGTGGAAGTAAAATGTGTTCATTTGTCTAAAAAGGGTTTAAAATGAGCCGGCAAGCAGATGAAGGCATCATAAAAATAATGTCTAACATAACAGAAAGGTTAACATTAAAAGACCAGGTTCAAAGTGTTACCGAATCAGAAGGTGCTTAATCAATAACATCAAACCGAGTTAACCTTAAAGAGGGAAATGCCCTCACCAGGATCCCTGGGGATCGTCTCACTAACATCAAAAACAGAAGGGCTTTGAACCAAAACGAGGCCTGGAGGACAGCAGAACCCCTGCACCGCTGCCTCCAGACTGCTGAACCAACCAGCTCAGTGGCCTAGTGGTAGAGCATCCGCCCTGAGACTGGGAGATCAGGGTTCAGTTCCTGGTCGGGCCATACCAAAGACTTTGAAAAAATGGGACCCAATGCCTCCCTGCTTGACACTCAGCATTGAGGGGTTGGATTGTTGGGTTAAACCACCACATGGTTCCCGAGCGCGGCTGTGTCTGCGGCTCACCGCTCCCCCAGGGGATGGGTCAGATGCGGAGAACAAATGTTGCTCACACGTCAGTGTGTGTGACAACTGATGGGACTTTAACTTTGAAGGCACAGCCTTTTATCCCAGGTGTGGGTCATCAGAGGGATTCAGGTCAGCTGCGCTCCTCAGCAGCCTGGAGGAGAAGAGGAGGGGCGGAGTCTGGCTGATGACCGGGGCTGGGTGGTCCTGGCTCCTGGATCACCAGAGGCCAGGCTGGTGGCCCTAACCAGGTCGGGATGGTAGCGTTGGCCAGCCGTTGGCATCAGTGATCTCTGGTCTAGTCAGATGTAATTGACCCCTGATTAAAGAAGTAACGGCAGTAATCTCTTTCATGATGATATATATTCTAACACCAAAACTAATGTTCTGTACTACACTGTTGTTCTAAATGCATGCTCTAAAGGAGGTGGAAGAAGCTCCCGCTTATTTAATCCCACCCCTTCACAATGTCCAACCACTCCATGAGTTATGAGTAACAATCTTCCTGAACATATTTTTATACATTTACTTAATATGCATAAATACACACTAAATACTCTGACCTACAGCCCTCTAACCTCTCTGTCAGAGCGTTGTTGCTGCTAACTA